ACTATCATATTTTGAATGGAAGCTGTTGTCAATTTATTCCATATGTGTGCAGGGCTAACAGACCATGATTTGAGCTGGAATCACACTTTAATCTCTTGTCCTAACTCTTAGCCATCATGGCATATATACACTAAACAACACCAGACAGTCTGAAAGTTATTAGTTTAAATATTAAACAACATAAAATCACAACTCAAGACTAGTATCGCTTAAAGAAACTAGCAGGTGTCTCATTTCTAACTAAGCTGTTAATATAGATTAGGAAAAAGAAGTGGATCCAAGGTAGAGTTTTGTGGAACACCCTTGGATGTATAAAGTGCTTTATCCACAAGTATCATCTTATTTACCATGTTAATAAATATTTGGATGATTTTAGTTTTACCCATGTATTACATTTTAATGCTTTTGCCATTCCTAATTTGTTTTTTTTTTATAATTTGTACTCACATCAACTAATCTGTATTTTTATGTTGGGTAACGTGTGTGCAACTGCTGTTCTTGCTAGTTCTCTCGAGAAAGAAATATTTTTAATCTAGATTAGATCTACCTATTTAAATTAAAGGCTGTAATGATACAAATTTGTTTTGTTTTTTAAAGTAAAATGAACTAAAATATGACATATTGCACATTGAATGGCTCCATGGCTCAACGGCTCCTAAACGTAGGCAGCATGAAGCTGTAATGAAATGCAGATTTTAGAAAGTGCTAGTTCACCTTATCAGAATCAGACACCGTTTTTTTTTCTAGTTTCAAATTATCAGGTTTTGAAGGAATCTTTTAATGTGACCCAGCTTGTGAAGAAACGCTTTCACAGCAGGAATGAGGCATGTAAAATAGTATATTATAATCAGTATCAGACATACTTTAATTTCCCTCTGGGATTATTATTATTTTCTCAAAAGCACTAAACCCAACTCAAGTCAGTTTGGATTAAAACAATTATTGTCATGCCAGCGAGCAAAAAAATGACATATTGTGTCCCTAAACCACTGGCATGGTTGGGGTCCCTAGACTTTGTTCATCTTCGCTATTTTTTTACCATCTGTACACCATGCTGAACACCATAATAGCCAGACTCTTAGTGTTTATTCTTGGGTAGAACCGGTTTAAAATATAAAACTGGTGCCTTCAAGCTTCTGCAAACAGAATCTTAAAGGGTCTAAAATGATGTTCCTGGTATGTTGGCTCATCTATTTGTATTTTCCATGAAATCCCACGTGGGAATGGTGTTCGAGGCCCTGACCTAAACTATCCAATGTGTCACTCCTTTTAAATTGCATGCTTTGAGCTGAACAATCAGAAGCTCACAAAACTCCAATGTTAAACACAGGTAATCTTCCTAAGGGTAAATGAATAACCAATAATCATGGTGTTTCATAAATGGAAACAATGCTTGTGAAAACTGAAATAATAAAAGGTTTCTTCTATATTTCATCTTATAATATATGGTTAAAGGACAGCATGGGGGTAAATAAATCTATTAGGATAAGTTTTATAAAATGATATAACAATGTGCCCCAGCTGTGGTAGGCGTGCCTGTCCAACTGCTCAGTGCACAGCTGGTGGCACAGCCTGTCTCGCTCTCTCCAGCACAGCTGTATAGGTGTCCTGAAGGCAAAATAAGTACTTCCCCCTCCCCTCCTTCTTTTCATCACCTTAAGTTTAATGACGTTCGGCAGCACCTCCACCCAGAGGAGCGAACAGGAAGTCTAATTCAAGACCTCTTCCTGTATGACATTCCTGACCTGAGCAGCCTTCCTGCCAGACTTGCAGACTCTGAACATGCAGCACAGCCAGTTTTAGTTGGAGCAGGGCACAACAAACTCCTGCATATCTGTCATACTTCAGGTGTGAAAGACCAAAAATATTTTAATAAGATAGAAACTAAGCACTCATGGGATTTATAAGCAAAATGGAAAAGCATTCCAGCTCCTTTAGCTTTGTCAAATTTTATGACAATAAAACCACATTAATGCAATTTATTTTGAAAATCAAAACAAAGTATCACTGATTGTGAAATTGATGGAAAATAATGCAAATATTTTCAGAAGAGCTGCACCTCTCAGTTATCAGCCTCCCTTAAGCTGATACCCCTAAATAAAATGAACCTACTTATAAATTCCACCTATATAGGGTGACCAGATCCCCAAAATATGAGGGACAATGTGAAGCTGACGCATTTTTCTCAGCTGTGCGTTTCTTTTTGTCAGTGCTGCTTTACATCGCCTTTCACTGGTCTCAACTACAGGTGCTGGTCATAAAATTAGAATATCATGAAAAAGTAGATTGATTTCAGTAATTCCATTTAAAAAGTGAAACTTGTATATTATATTCATACATTACATACAAACTCATATATTTCAGATGTTTATTTTGTTTAATTTTGATGATTACAAATGACAACAAATGAAAATCTCAAATTCATCATATCAGATAATTAGAATATTGTGAAAAGGTTCAAAATTGATGGCCCCTGGTGCCACACTCTAATCAGCTAATTAACTCAAACCACCTGCAAAAGCCTTTAAATGGTCTTTCAGTCTAGTTCTATAGGCTACACAATCATGGGGAAGACTGCTGACTTGACAGTTGTCCAAAAGACGACCATCGACACCTTGCACAAGGAGGGCAAGACACAAAAGGTCATCGCTAAAGAGGCTGGCTGTTCACAGAGCTCAGTGTCCAAGCACATTAATAGAGAGGCGAAGGGAAGGAAAAGATGTGGTCGAAAAAAGTGTACAAGCAAGAGAGATAACCGCACCCTGGAGAGGATTGTGAAACAAAACCCATTCAAAAATGTGGGGGAGATTCACAAAGAGTGGACTGCAGCTGGAGTGAGTGCTTCAAGAACCACCACACACAGACGTATGAAAGACATGGGTTTCTGCTGTCGCATTCCTTGTGTCAAGCCACTCTTGAACCACAGACAGCGTCAGAAGCGTCTTGCCTGGGCTAAAGAGAAACAGGACTGGACTGCTGGTGAGTGGTCCAAAGTCATGTTCTCTGATGAAAGTAAATTTTGCATTTCCTTTGGAAATCAAGGTCCCAGAGTCTGGAGGAAAAGAAGAGAGGCACTTCATCCACGTTGCTTGAAGTCCAGTGTAAAGTTTCCACAGTCAGTGATGGTTTGGGGTGCCACGTCATCTGCTGGTGTTGGTCCATTGTGTTTTCTGAGGTCCAGGGTCAACGCAGCCACATACCAGGAAGTTTTAGAGCACTTCATGCTTCCTGCAGCTGACCAACTTTTTGGAGATGCAGATTTCATTTTCCAACAGGACTTGGCACCTGCACACAGTGCCAAAGCTACCAGTACCTGGTTGAAGGACCATGGTATCCCTGTTCTTAATTGGCCAGCAAACTCTCCTGACCTTAACCCCATAGAAAATCTATGGGGTATTGTGAAGAAGAAGATGCAATACACCAGACCCAACAATTCAGAAGAGCTAAAAGCCACTATTAGAGCAACCTGGGCTATCATAACACCTGAGCAGTGCCACAGACTGATCGACTCCATGCCACGCCGCATTGCTGCAGTAATACAGGCCAAAGGAGGCCCAACTAAATACTGAGTGCTGTACATGCTCATACTTTTCATGTTCATACTTTTCAGTTGGCCAACATTTCTATAAATCCTTTGTTTTTATTGGTCTTCAGTAATATTCTAATTTTCTTATATGATGAATTTGAGATTTTCATTTGTTGTCATTTGTAATCATCAAAATTAAACAAAATAAACATCTGAAATATATGAGTTTGTATGTAATGTATGAATATAATATACAAGTTTCACTTTTTAAATGGAATTACTGAAATCAATCTACTTTTTCATGATATTCTAATTTTATGACCAGCACCTGTAGTTATCGACCATCTGCGTTGTGGTTGTGTTTTCTTTCTTTAATGCGCCTATCATATTATGTGTTAAAACAATCTATGCAGGTTTATCATGACCCGGCACTGATGCAACTCTGTTTTCTTTGCATTTAGGAAAACTGTTTGTATATAGTTTGACTTGTTCTATTCTACCCAGTCAAATGTGTTTTAATTTGTGGGACAGAAGTGAAAGATGCAGCATAGTCTTGCACAAAATGGGATATCTGATCACCCTACATCAGTGGATTTTAATGTCAAAAAAAAAAAATGCAGCTGTGGATCAGTTTAGAGCAGGCATCCCCAAAGTCGGTCCTCGAGAGCCACTGTCCTGCAGGTTTTAGAGGTTTCCCTACTTTAGCACAGCTGATTATGATGATTGCAGTTCAGCAAAAGCCTGTTAATCAGCTTTCAATTAAAATCAGCTCTGCTGGAGCAGGGAAACCTCTAAAACCTGCAGGACAGCGGCCCTCGAGGACCGACTTTGGGGATGCCTGGTTTAGACCAGCAGTTAAGTTCTAAAATGAGAGACCCAGAGTTACTCTGGAGGAACTGCAGAGAAAAAGAGCCCAGGTTGGAGACAGTAAGCCATGGATTCCGCAAGTCTGGCATTTATGGAAGTTTCAAGAAAAGTAGAAAATGCCATAAGTCATGTAGGAAACAAAAAAACATGACAGGAGCTCCTCCTTCGTACTCTGCAATTAGACGGCAGAAACAACAAGCTGCAGAAACAATGCCTCCTACAGGCACAGAGAGCTGGAATGGCATGGCTCTGACTGAACGTCCCAGTCAAAGTACAGGCCTGCATCCAAAGGAGAACCTGTGCTCAGTCTTCAGCAGTGAGCAAAAAAATTTTAGTTTCTACATGTAAAAAGCTGACTGAGAAACAGCCCAGATGGTTTGTGGAAAACACTGAAGTGAAAGGAAGAACGAAATTACAGAAACGGAAACAAACACTAATATTTCATATTCTTTTTTTTATTATCAAAAACCTAAAATAATAATCCGGAAATGAAGTGAATTGGAAACTGGAAAATAATTCGAGTAGGATTAATAGTTCATCCAATCGCTGTGTTGGAAAGCAGCCATAACTGATGATTTTCATGCCAGTTTAAACAATATTTTAAGCCTTTTTAATTTTCTAAATTTTATTGATACTCAAGTCTATACATTGAGAATAAGCACATACAAGAAACCAGAAGAAGTTACAGGGGACAGAAAATATAATCTATTTACGTTTTACTTAGTAACTAAATGAATCATAAATGTGCAATAAAGACGACCTTGTCAGGGTTCTGAGAACAATCTGACATGATGTCAGCAGTAAAAGAAAAAAAGTTCATATTCCGGAAAAAAAAAACCCAGCTAAAAATATATTTCTCTGATTTATATTTTAGAGTATACGGTTATGAAAATAAGCGACAAGTGTGATGTCTGAGCACCAACCTCTTCTTCTACAAATTAAAGTGAATAAAACTGCGTCATAATTTCTCTTCTACATAAGACAAATAAGCAAAGATAAGCTTTTTTGTGTCCAAAACTGCTGAAAGCAGAACATAATTTGTCAATTTTCCCTTTCAACTGATAAACTGGGTCCTCAGTGAAACAAAAAAAAAAACAAACATAAAAAAAATCTACAACAAATACGAATCGTCTTTAAGAATTGCTTCTGATTTGTTTTATTTGTAGTGTTTCTGTTCTTCCCAAAGACGAGTCAAACATTTGTTTAGCATTAGTGTATTAATTAGAATTATTTATCCTTCAACCTTAAACAATAAAAACAGAATCTGAATCCATACATGTATACCGATAGAAAAAATAAGAAAAACCCCTTTCAGATTAAAGTGACTGATTATTACCCACAAAGCAGCTGATTGCCAATGAAGAAAACAAAAACAAAGAAATCTTCAAGAAAATAAAACCAGAGTTAAAAAAAAATAACATAACACTAAAAATATTCAAATGGCAACAGAGTTTGCAGATAAAACTGAAAACCAACAATAACAGATTGGATTCAGGTTTAAGGAAAACAGAAAAATAAACTGGATAAATCTCCCATTGATAAATCAATAAAGTGAATCAGAGCTTAGTCTCCTGATGACTCAGAGTCAAGCCGACACCTTAGAGCCCACCCCAGGACGCCATAATGGATCTCCATTCGGTTACAGGATGCTTTCCCTCACCGCCTCGTTTACCCTCTCGGGTGAGTTCCAGGTGTGGAAGTCCAGCAGGGCTTGGTTGAGCTTCTCCATCCAGTCCAACCTCTCCTGCTTGGTATCGGCAGAGAACCAACACCTGAAAGATTCAGAACCGCCACATTCATATTTTCTGTACATTTTTCAAATATTTTTAAAGTTTAGATTTAATATAACGCTTTATATAAGAAACTAATTATACAGTGACGATAAAGCTGGTTGTTGCACTTGAAGGTTTATTATTTTGGAAGAGCAACATATTCCAAGATTACTTTTCTTACTTTTTATAACGTTTTCTTCATCCTCCTTAAAATACTAGAACACTAATTAACTGACAAAGCTTCAGTTAAATAAGACAGAAACTAACCTTCATGCATGATTTTAAGGTTTTAGCATAAATGAACTAAATAATTTGGATATAGAAATGAAAAAGTTTGTCATTTTTTTATCTTCATTATTTACTTTTCGTTTTTACTTTCGGTTCCATTTTCCGACCTCAGTTGGCACCAAAAATACTTCTAAAAATAAAAATAAATCTTTCCCAACTTGGTGACATTTCACTGGGGTTTGATGATGAGCAAATCAAACCTAACTGGAGTTAAATACAGCAGCATCATGCGTTGATCAGCAGAATAAAGAAACACCAAGCCTCTAAAGTTGCATCGTAATAATTAAAGCAATTTAAAAACCCTTGAAGACTGTTGCCAACGTGCCAGAATGACCAGGGTTTTTCTACCTCTATAAAGCACAGAATTAACCCCTCCCTGATATTGTGCACAATGCTGGTCAGCTGACTGAAAGAAAGCTGCTACAAGGATAAATCAGTTGGTAGGGTTATATTTTTGTTTAATTCCATGTTTGAAACCCAAATCAACAAAATTAAATGTTATTGCTCTTAAAGGGAAACTTAATTTACTTTGTCATATTTTAAATAAACCCTCATTGGATTTTAAACGGTCTTCTTTTAACCTTGGTGTAAACCCTGACGTTGTCCGACTGATATTTTTACTCAAATACTAACCCAAGTCTATAACAAAAGTAATTTTAGTAAAACCTTGTGTATTTTTATAGCTCTCAGGGATGTAACTACCATTGAGGACAGCGAGATGGTGTCCTCTGTGTTTTATCAATTTATTTATTGCCTAAATTGTGATATAAACTAAAATAAATTACAGTGAAACTGACTGCAGGATGATATTGGTCTCCCACCAAACTGAGTTTTTTTTTTATATTTGAAGAGCCAAAAGTTGCAAGACTGTTTAATCATCTTAAGTTATTGTCAACACGCACTGTTTCTATGGTAACTGCCAATCACAAGCAACTACAAGTGAGTCTGTCAATCCCTGGAAGAGGAGCATGTCGAGCTACTAATGCATGTAGAGAGCAGTTAAAGTTGTTGATGACTGTAAGAAAAAACAGCATTTCCATTAGGAAATATTTCAGCTAAGTGAAATACTCAGACAGCAAAGGAACTTCGAACCAAAGTTTATCTAACACCAGTTCCCACCAACTGAACTGACATTAATTATGTGATTGATACGTTAGCAACATCTTCAGCTGAAAACTAAATGTGTATTCATTGTTGGTTTCTCGCCGTTTGATGTTGAACGCGTTTCATATTTCTGCCAGATGCCGGAGCTCAACGCTGCAAGACGACACAGAGTAGATCGCGCGGGACAGGAAGTTGTGCACATAAAGAAACAAAACAAAACAAAACAAACAAACAAAAAAAAAACAACCTTTGATCAATTTTCTAAAATAACTAATGATTTTCTGTGATAACTTTCCCTTACTTCAAGAAGTCACCATGGTCCTTCAAAAAGCCTCCAAATACTCAATTTTTATCTACAACTGCTGTAGAATGATATATTTGGAGTGTATACTTGCATAAAATCAGAATATTTATCTATTTGGTTTAATATTTACAGGGTTTATACAGGAATGAGTAACTCTAATACAATGCTTTTTAATGCACTTTTAATGCTCGTAGAAATATTTTCAATGTCATCAACTAGATGATTCTCATATATATATATATATATATATATATATATATATATATATATATATATATATATATATATATATAACACAGCACAGAGATATATATATATATATATATATATATATATATATTTATTAAGGGTGGAACGGTTCACAAAATCCACGGTTCGGTTCGGTTCACGGTTTGGTATATGTTGATTGTTAGCATGACATGTTGCTGTTAGCATAAACAAACGTGTTGCACAATGCTTGCACACTGTTGCACTTTTATCCACAACTTTCCGCCGTCATCGTAGGTCACTCTAAATGCAAAGCGGTCCCATACAGCAGACCTATAAAGTGCTGCTGGCGCGTCTTCCAACTCCTGTTCTTTCCCACTCGCCATACCCACACAATTCTCCACAACAACTGATTTTTTTCTGCTTAACCCAGCTACACTGCTTCGCTTCCTCTTCTTGTTTACTACCGTTGGTTGGCTTTGGTTGCAGTACCGCCACCTTCTGCTCTGTACACGCTTCGCCTATGACAAAAAGGAGCAGCGCATGAACAGAACGCAACACACGCGAATCGAACCGAACGGTTGGGACGGTTTTCATAAACCGTTCCATCCCTAATATATATTTATTAACAGCTGCAAAATCCTACTTTATCTTTACCGTAGACAGGCTGCAGCCATGTCCCGAATTTCTCGTTTTCCAGCCAGTTTTCTTGAAATTAGCATTTTCCCCCATTCTCTAGCTTTTTCTCTGCCTCGAGCTTCTTTTGCGAACATACGGCTTTACGATCAACTGCAAGCAGTTTAAATGCCACCATAATCATTTATTGAATTTTAATGGCAATTAAGGCCTTAATTAAAAAAATAATAATTTAATGACTTGTAATGACTCGCTGAAACCCTGATTTACACTTATCAAGAGCTAGTTTTAGTATTTTATCCCTTGACATTGGGCTTTCTCTGGAATCAGGGAAACTAATTTAGTTCTGTCACTTAGTGAAATGACAATTAAAACTCCTTAACATGATCTGGAAATGCATATTGTTTTCATTTCTGTCTGATATTTTTCACTAAAGAGAAAAGGCAGAGTCAAACCAAGCTCCTCTATGGGCCGAGCAGCAGGAGAAGCAGTGAGGAGAGAGATGCAGGGAGAGCAGGTTCTATCAAAGGACGATGCTGTGCCTGAACTGTTTCAAAAGTTTGATGTTTAATAAATGGCAATTGAAGTATTGTTTACGATTATAATAGGACTATGTTATATTAAAACCTAATAGAGTACCGGTAATAGGGACTTGGTGTTTATTTGAAATACTCATGCAAATATGAAGCAACTATTTTTTATTATACTGGAATGTCTTTTGTGACATTTTTCTAAGAAGCGGTAGACAAGAGCTTCAAAAGAAAGTTTGCATTTATAAAGTTCTGAGTCTTGACCTCAGTAATTTTTGGGCCCTGCCTACAGCCCTGATGGCTCTTTGTGATCAATGAAAGTTTATTTTGCGATAAAACAATATGTTGTTTAAAGTATAGGGGTGTGATTTAGAGATAGCAGGAAATTGAGGTGTCATGGTGGTGATGTAAACTTACTTGGACAGAGCTTCCTGCTTCTGGTCGTCCTGCTGTGAGGTGTTCACCAGCTCAAAGGTGAAAGGTCGAGCACATGAATCCCTCTTAACAGGCCTGACGCACTGATTGGGAGACCTGGACAGAAAGATGCTGCCTTCTGCTTCCTGCAGAGTTAAACCAGAGGATCAGATCATCTGCCCGACTTGTTATTAGTCCACCCTCACATCTCCCAGCCCACCTTACCTTGGTCTCTCTGTCATTCGGGTTGTTCCACCAGTACATGTTGCATTCCTCCAGAACAAAATATCGTCGATTCCAAACTCCAAATCCACTGATCAACTCAAACATAGTCTGGAGAGTAAAATGAGACACAATCGATGTTAATAAAAAGGTGTTTATTTTTTCACCACCTGTTTGACTCAATGCCTGCCATTCCTGGTTTCCTGTGGTGGACCCACTCTGTGTGAATACAACTGTTGGGACGATACAATGCAGAAATATTTCAGACATCTTTGGATCCATTTACTGGTAACTTTACAATCTAAGATATATTTTTAATAGACTCAATTGGCTTTTTATTTTAATGTCTTTTAGCCTTGTGTCTATTAAGATGTGCTTCAGTTTGTGTTTCACTTTGCTTAGTCAAGCATTTAACCTTTTTTTTTTTTTTTTTAAATAACCTTACACTAAAACGGTTAATAAAGGGTTTTTGGGTTATTGAAAAAAAAAGATACAGGATGTACGATACAAGAAAGGAAAAAATAAATGAAAGAAAGACTGCTAAAAAAAATTGCCTGATATTTCTGCTTAAATACAATTAAAGGTTTAGATGACAAAATGGAAAAGGCGAGGACCTTTAAATATCTACATGCAACTGATCTCAAACTGTGTACAATCCAGCTGTTAAGATTGGATGCACGACCTTTAAAAAGTTTAGATTTTTATCAGTCCAGTGTAAAAGACACACTGAATTAATGCAAAGAAAAATGAAAGTTGCTTTTCTATTCTATTTATCAAATAAACTGACAGCATTGAATCGGTTGTGTGTTTTTATTTTTTATACAACCTCAGAACCAAAGTTTGGATCATTTAAAGAGGTCCAGATCCATAAGGGCCCAATGAATGAAAGATGGTGATGGGCTTCCTTAGTTATCAGAACTGTAGCTTATACACCACTCACTGCTGCTGCTTCTTGCTTTGGTTCACATTAAAAGTGATACTACACAACTCCCTTTTAAGTCAAACCGAACATTGTCACATTTTCCTTTTTTGTGGCAATGTCTCAGTAGCTTTTATAAATAAGATTTAGATATTTCCAACACGTCCATGCAGAAGTGCATAAAATAAGTAAAAAAAAAAAAAAAACAGGCTTTGGCCAACTGTTAAAGTAAGAGTTTATCGAGCTGTTAAAGGAAAACGCCCCTGAAGGGGCAGGAGGTGGAAAATAATGTTTAGATTTTCAAAAAACAAAAAAAAACAAAGATTAAAATGATTTTAGGGGATTTTTTCCAGGTTCTGTAGGAATGCATTCAAGAAAACTAACATGATGCAGAGTTTTTCTTTTAAAAAAGGTTAAAAAACAGGCAATAAGAAAAAATAAATAAATGTTTGATCAAAAATCTCAACATGTTAGAGACTTTGAGGTCTGAATGTGAAATGAGTCAGACTTTAATCATTTCTACAGAGCATTCCAGGTGGATCAAATTAGGCTGCTCCTAATATCAAAGCAGGACTTTCATCAACTAATGAAGCAAATAAAAGCTCCCAGTTGCACCGAGATGAGTTTATTGCAGCAGGTCTGTATCCAATACAAGAGAAAACATGACAAATGTTTTCAATATCTCAGCAAACCATTTCCAGACACTGAAAATAATAGCAATAATGAATTATGACATTATGTTGTGCAATTTGAAGTTTGATCCAGAATTTCCTTTCAGAGGATTAGAAGATGACACTGAAAGTTCATCAATCCAGTTTAAACAAGATTTCTACTTAGAAACCCTTTGAACATTGGTGAAAAAAAAAACCCCTTTGTAGTTTTGAAAAGATTAAATTATATAAAGCAGGCTTGCTGACCAGGAAGCCTTGGTGCCGGACATCAGAGTGGCCCTTGCTTTCCAGTTTCAGGTAGATGTGGCCCTCTAGTGGAGAAAGAAACGGCACCTACAGTCACAGAAGGAGAAGAAGTCACACTCAACTAATGGAATATGGAGAACAAAACTGAGCAAAGGAAGTTTTTTCTTTGTTTTTAGTAACTTGATTCAGTCAGGGTTAGGCGTTCAGCTTAAGCTGAAGACACCTGGTTAGAAATATTCAAAGATCTGAGTTGTAATTTCTAAGTAAGTTGCAGAAAACCAGCAGAACCGACAAGATAAATTTATTTTTTCGAGGAACCGAAGCTGGTAGATTCTTGAAGCTTATAATATTTGATGTGATGCCAGTAACTGAAAAGTGTAACAAACAGAATATTAAAATCTATTACTTTTTATAAGTAAGAGGAGTAATTAAAGTTTTAGGAAGTCAGAACCCCAATGTGTATTAAAAAAAGACTGTGACCCGTGTCAATTATAAGAATGATCAACATATTGCAGCTGGTTCGTTTTTACCGAGGAGAGCAAGGAAACTTAGGCATGTGAAGAGGTGACAGAGAATTGAAGAGTGAAACCTTTTCCTGAAATTCATCTCCCAGCAGCTTCCTGATTTTGCCATCAAGTTTCATCTAAAAGTGAATGGAGCAGGACAGAGAGAGAGAGAGAGGGAGGGAGGGGGAAAGACACATTCAACAGTGAGACCACCGAGGTGAGGACTTTAAAAGGCAAAGTGACAAACAGTGATGCCATAGCACTGGGAGATAAAAACCCCACAGTGCAAACATGTGCAGAGCCCAGTGAAAGCAGTTTGGATTCATGGTGTTTTGTTCCACGTTTGCAGCTAAAGCAGGAAACTTCATGTCAAGAAAATCAGAATGTTTTTTTTTATTTTACAATGAATGGCTCAGCAAACTATGTGATAGTTTAGAACTAGACTCACTATAAATATAAGTCACCTTATCAAGGGGGAATTTGCTGCATCCCAGTGAAGCCAAGGTGATTTTGTGGGAACCAACCAGAGAGAAGTTACTGGAGCGGCGAGTGTTGAGAGCAGAGGGAGCCGCACCTGAAGGTAAAGGAAGCCCAATAAAACATGATTATTGAATCAGGAATATACAGCGTAATAAAGACAAAACTCTACTTACAGTTGTATGTGTTGCTGGACTTCTGTTGGACAGAGAGAAAATGCATGAAGCAAAGGAATTATAATTAAAATGCTTTAGAAAGTCATGTGGATTGATACTTACTGTGATGGTATTCAGAAGCTTCCTGGGTGTGACCTAAGTTTGACAGCAGACCTTGAATATGTTGCACTGTTTTCATGGAAGACATGCTGCGCACAGAATTTGTGAGGAAAATAATCAGGCACTTACACGGGACTTTGTGTTGGTCCGGTCCGTGCTGCAGCTGGCTCCTGATGTAGAACACTATGATGAAAAGAAATTATCACAGACAAATAAAAACATAACTTCGTTTTCAAGGAGAAAAAAAAGATAGGAGCAGAAATGTACTTTACTTAAACTTTACGATGAATAAAGTCTCAGTTTTATTTTCAGGACATATAACCACTGAAAAAAAAAGTTAAAGTAAAAGCAAAGTGATGTTTATACTCCGAATGAAAAAAACAAACAAATAGAAAGGGTTAAAAAAAATAAATACAAAAAAAACCAAAAACTTCTAACACAAGAAAAGGAAGAACCTGAACAACTTCCAGGTTAAATTTCCAATATGGCGAACACGCATTACAAACTTTGATGCAGCATCAATCAAAGTTACGGTTACATTCGTAGCTAATCAGGTTTTCTCACCAGGCTGTAGACTTCCACATCAATCTCAAAAGACGAGCGAATATCCTGTCTGAAAAAATTAAGAAAAAAGAAATTCGTTCGTTTAATTTGTGAAATCTTAATTTCCGCATAATTTTTCTGACCCATAGTTGAACGAATTTAGCTCACAGTTTGACTGCAGTTGGGAAGGAGATGGTGTCTCCATTTCGAGCATCAGCAGCGGTGGCCAGCGGCGTGGCGATGATGTTGCAGGGCCCGTAGCGAATCAGGACAAAGAAGTAGTGGCTCGGTCGCCCTGAAGGAAATCATGATCAAACCAGTCTTTTTCTTTAAGCCACATGTATAAGTCCAGAGGAAAATGTAAAAGGAGGGGAGGAAAATGAAGCACTCAGCCAGTCTGTGTTCCTACTAGGGGTGTAAATCACATCCATCATGGCGATTCGATTCAGTATCGATTTCCTGAACCAACGATTCGATTATTTTCGATACTCAAGAATACACCACGATTCGATTCGATTAATCGATTAATCGGTTATTTTTTTTATTATTATTATTATTTTTATTTTTTTACACCTTACAGGCTAAACAAAGTTTCAAGTTTGAAATAAATCAATGAAAGCTGTAATATCATTATGCATTTTCTTTAGAAACAACAGCAAATAACAGAAGTAGAAAAGTTGCATCAAAAAATACTGCAAAAATACTGCACAATATCAGTGTAATGAGTTCAATGCAATACCTCGGCTCCAGAGAAACTGTCCAACATATTTTTTTAGAATGTAATAAATATACTCAGGAAAGAGAGATGTTGCTTAGAGAGTTAGACAGGAATAAAAATAAACTACATACAAGGGAATTGTTTCAAAGGTCATCTGGGGATGTAGTTTTTGGTAGTATTTTTAATTTTCTAAGAAGAACGGGTATTTTAGGGAGAATATAATAATTTGTCTGGTCCATACTCCATTCTGGAAGGTGGCGGTAATGCACCTATAAGTTGTTTGCCAACCGCCATTAAATAAAAGAAGAAGAAGGCTCCAGTGTCGACGTCACCGCCCCCTTGAGAGACGCTGCACCTCTCCCAGATTGTAGCTGACCACAAACAGTGCACCAGACAGGAGGCCAGCTTGTTTTGTTTTTATGACCGAAATTGCGGAAAACAACTCGTGAAGTTCGACCCGCTAGAAGAGCGAGGTGCGCGAGAACGCTGGGAACCTTTTTCCAGCTGGATCTCCGCTCTTTTTGGCTCTCATGTCCCTCCGTCGTCGGACTAAACTCGCCCCCACTTCCTCATCGCCTCGGCCGTATCTAGACCCACAGCGTGTAGCCCAGACCACGCTTCAATACTGAGCATAATTTAAAAATGTCTGTGTCAAGCTTGCTGCAACAAACTGCTGTAAGAGTATAACCAGGAAGCGCGGTAGGAGGGCAAAATAGGTTTAGCGGCACCGCAGCACGGGAGGGAGAATTACGCCCAGGAGCAAATGGATAAAAATAGACCGGAGGAAAAAAAAAACATGAATCGATTATCTTGCGGACGTGTCGATGCATCGGATCGTCGGCTTTTGGATCGATGCATCGATACAAAACGATTATTATTTACACCCCTAGTTCCTACCTGCACGGCTGTGTGATGAACAGACATATTCCACTTTCAGAGGCAGCTGGATGTTGGTGATAGTGACTGTTCCTCTGCAGGGCTGCTGGGAAACATAATCCGTGTCCTTTGGAAGCTCTCCAGACTGCAGGTTCCTCTCTTCCCTCAGTCTGACCACTTCAGCCAACAGAGCAGAGTGCTTCTCACCTAAAGAAAACCAGAAATAACAGAGGAAATGCTCTCCATTACCATGCTTTCAACACAACTAGTCACAAAAGCCATAGCTTCTTCTAAGCCTGTGAATTTTCTTAATGTTATAACAACAAACGTGGCGCCAAAAAATGCAACTGAAAAGCACCGCCCTGCTAGCTACCCTGAGTAGAGAATGTTTACTGAAAGGTTTCCCTACAGGAAACAAGCAGAAGTTTCTCGGCTTCAGCCTCCTCCAGCGAGCCTCGCCCGTGCTCCTCGTCGGTGCAGCAGCTCAGAGCTTGCAGCGTCTGGTTGATCACAGTCTGCAGTTTTCCAGCTTCTTCATTCAAAGCCTAAAGAACCAGAGAAGAAGTATTATTGGAAAGTGAATATTTAATTAATCGAGCATGTCCAAGGAAAACCAGAAAACTCTTCTGTTTATGGAACCAATATGCAGTTTATTTAAGACACTTAAAAGGACAAATTAGAAGCTGATCTATAAAACAAAAAAACTTGCTTTTAATAAACTGTTCTACAGATCTTTAATTATCTATATTTAGCCAATTATTTAAGCATTTACTTGGATTTTCTAGAGTTCCCATTTGTCAGTGAATGCAGAGAAAAATCTTAAAAAAAAAAAACCCAAACTAATAAAAATGTTTCTCACCGTTATTCTCTCCTTGGTGACGACAGGGGCTTCAGGGTTTGGCGTCTCTGGAGTTCGTCTTTGGACGGCAGGCGTCACGCTCTGAATGGTGGGCAGCTTGTTTTGCCTTTGTGTGCGGTACGCATCGATGCTGTCAAAACACAACAGGTCAACGAATAAAAATACCCAAGCTGATCCATCGCTAACTGATTGATTGGGAAAAGGAAAACAGGGAGCTCCAAAATCAAAGATTTGAGTATTATAACCAATGATTTCTGACCAGCAAATCAAAGTTTGTTTTGCAAATTACTTTCTCTCTTTGTGACAAAATTGAGACACTTGAATAAATAAATAAATAATTATTTAGAAAAAACTTTTTATTTTACAATATTCCATTTAAAAAAATCATTACAATTCCAAAAGTTTGGACAACAAATGTTTTTTTTTATTTAGATTAGTTTATTTATTTTTTTTAATCTTGATATATTCAATGCTCTTAGTGAGTCACTCTGTCAGCTAAAAGCATGTTTTAGAGTCTCTACACTCCAGTTAACGATTAATTAATTACTGAATTAGTTGACAATTATTTTAATAACCGATTAATCAGATAAATTGTTTAAGCCCTACGTGATCCTGGCCTAAAGGAAACTAATAGAAACCAAACCCTAAAGCTTCTCTTTTCCATCTTTCCCCTTCTTATTCACACATTTTCAGTGTGCATATGTAGTTAAAGATAAATTGAAGTCCATAAAAAAGAAAAATCTCTTCCAACCTGTAGAGGGGAAACGTTTCAGGAGGGGGGTTGCTGGTTTCCTCTGGGGTCAGAGACACAGGAGGATTAGACTCCTGGGCTGCTGATAGTCGCTGTTTGAAAAATATATGACACAGAATCTTTGCCTCGGTCCGTTTCCAGGATTTAAAAGTTTTCTTAGAGAAACATAATCTTAACAAAGTAAAGGTCTCACCAGTGGGGTAACCACAGCTTCAACAGACTTGCTGAGAGGAGAGAGGATGCCACCTTTAGGAAAAGTAAGAAGCTCATCTCCGTCGTTTTCATCAGATTCCTCTTCTTTGGGCTCTTCCTCTCTTCTGCTCTTCTCCACGCCCCCCTTTTCTCCAGAACAAGCAGAGATGCCGCTATCATGACCCTCTCCGTCTTCCTCAACTAGCCTGTTGTCCTCCACCTTTTCTGCATATTCCAGCACCTCTGCAAACATCTTCTCAATGGTTTCAGCTGTGTTGGTGTCATCATGAGAGCCCGACCCTGCATCTGATGAGAGATGTTCAACCATATCAGTCGACAGAATTGAGTCCTGTTCATGTTCAAACCTGTGTGTGGAAACCCATCTGTGCAAGTCTAAAAATGGAGGAAATGACGTGTCCAAGACGGGTGGGGGAAAAAAAACTAAATCAAAAAACAAGCACGCAAAACTTACTGATTTTGAAAACAAAAAGCTGCCGTTTTATTAATTTAATTTGTCAAGAGTTTGTTACTCATTAATACCCCGCCCACTTTAGAAAACCTGTTTATCAGTGGTATGACTTATGAAATAGTCTTGAATCATTTATTAGTTTAGATTTAGCTTTGAATAAAGTAGACTTAGATATTTTAGCTGGTATAATAAAATTGATCAGGTCGTATTTTGTTTGTGGATCAGAGATCAATCTGTTATAAAATAATCCCATTTAAAAAAATTAATAAGTCCTTGTTGTTTGTTTGTTTTTGTTTTTTTTATTGTAATCCAGAGGGTAACATGTCATGTAAACAAGTCGTTCAGTGAAAGGTATCATTTATAATTTATCCCTGAAGCACACAGCTTGTTCTATTTTAAACATGCACCTCTTAGAGTGAACTTAGTGTTTCCAGCCAACCTATGGAGTGCTTCACCCTGTGATCCCCAAGAGTAAGCCAAAGTGCTCCTCAGACACGTCTCACCTGACAGACTGGTCTCTGCCCTGGACTCCTCTGAGACGTCGCTCTCAGAAGAAACTGATCGATTGATCAGCTCAGGCTCCAAGATAAAGGTAACTTTCTTTGACCTTTCTGCCTTATGCACTGTTAGCTCATCGACAACATCTTTCCTCCCCTTTGTTGACTCTTTCCCCTCCTCATAGGAAACTGACATCTGGATCTCAGATGAACCCTGAGCTCCGTCTTTCTCATTAGTCTGATTTTTTACTGAAGGCTGAGCAATGATTCCAGAATTTATTTCCAAATCTGAAGTTGATGGCTTTTCTTCCAAAGTCTCAGCTTTTAAAGCTGGTCTCTTTTTCAAAGAATCATCTACCTCAACCTCTCCCTCACTTTTCTCCTCATCTAACCTCTTGTTCTCCGCTTCCTGTTGTTGTAGAAAGGAAGCAGTCTTATTTGAGACATCTAGATCTGTAGCACCGTCAATGTTCTTCTTCCCCTCTCTAGACAGCTCTGGTTCATCCTTTTTATTGAAAACTTGCTTCTTCTCTAAGACAGCGTCTTCATCCACACACACCTCTTGTTGAGGATATCTCCATACCCTTAATTCCTCATCTGTCGACGGTTCAATTTCCTCCTCACCGCATGTAGAACCTTCCACCGTTTCATCGCCATCGAAGGTAAAAAGCTCTGATATCTGCTCCTCTTCGGTTTCTCTGAAAACCTGACTGGTTTCCTTTGTGTTTGACTCCTCTAGAAGAGTTGACTGTAAGAAGCTGTTCTTATCAGCTGCCTGCAGCTCTGACAGGCTGTGCTCCTCGCTGAAAGACAACTTTAACACAGTCTGGCTCTCAGGCAAATCGACTTTACTCAGAACCACAGCACTGGGCTCTTTCTGAATAGCACCTTCCTCACCAAGAGAAATGCTCTCCTTCTGCCCTTCGTGGGTGAGTCTGGGTTCTGCAGAGGGTGCTCCTTCACCTGTTGGAAAAAGTCTCGCTCACTTCACACTTCTGAGACTGGAAAGGTCAAACTTATTATCAGACAACAATGAACGTGAAAAAAACAACAAACCGCTGAGGGAAAGACTGGTGGATGGCAGCTTAGAGAGCAGATATAAAGCAGAGTGACACATAGCTCTGAGTTACAAAGCAATGGCTGCCAAATGAAATATTTAGCCTATTAAACAGATTTCCACCCTTCTAAATGTCAACAACTCAGGATTTTACTGATCAAGCTGACTGGAAAGCTTGGAGGCAGCAGTGATGATAGATGTTTGATGAGGGAAAAAAACTGCCTTAGTTTTAGCTGAGTTCAATATTTTGAAATAATACTATAATGGACAGAAATGGATGGACTGGAGAAAAGGATTTAGAGCTGCATCAACTGATTGAGTCGGTCATGATTTCCCTTATTGGAATCACTGATCGGCTGATAATTCAATGTGAAACAGATTTTATCTACTGATGTTATTTACTCCTGCAGAGGTCTGAAAATCACCCACTGTGCTAAAACCACTGCTCTGAACTATAAATGTATTTGCAAGCAGTAGCTGAATGTTTTTAAGATGAGATTGAAATATTGAAAGTATCTGATTCTTTGACAACTGACAGAATCATAAAAAAATCTAGCCTGGGTGCCAGTCCGAACTTAGTCCCGCCCACAAGGTTTGAGGTCGGGAAGTTCGGTCTGGCTCTGCTCCATAGTAGCGCGAGTATTATCGCCCACTGTCAGGCGATCCAATCAAATTGTCAGGGCGGGCTTTATACGATGATGGACAGATGACCAACAGTAACGTAATCAACCACATGACCAAAGCGCGCTTGGGTGACAACAATAATGGCTGCCGCTGGAGAGTTTGGGTGAGTAGATTCTGCTATTAGGTCTGTTCTAGAAGATATCGACAGCAAATTAATTTTAAAAGAGGAACAGAGAAACGCGATCAAGTCTCATCTTCTTATTCTAGGCGTGAAACTGCACGCTTTGATTTTTGTGGACAACAACTATGCCTCGCTTAACATACGTCACGCACTCCGTTGCTCTTATTGGTTGTAGATCTATCCAATTGAGTGCAGAGGCATTTTTTTTCCTGGTTCGTTCGAAACACGCCCCATAATCACAGCTCTATGAAGCAGTATCAGACTCATATTCTGACTAGAATTGAGTTGGACTACGTCAGGCAAAAAAAAATCATCCGTTTTGGTCAAAATCGGAATCAGCATGTCAGGCTTTTTAAAGATCGGTAAAAGGCGACACTAGTTGGATTACTGATTGATAATGACTTCATTATTTTGAGGCAGGAAATAAATATACATTCCAAACAAAAATCTACATTGTGAAAAACTTTCTCAACTCTTATTTTTCCATATTTATCCAGACCTGGAAAAGTTTTCATCAGACCCCAAATATTTCCAAACTCTTTAAAACCTAAAAAACCTCCCTTTCTATGATAGAAGCTGATCCTCCTCTACACCATATTTTATTACACCAGAGAACATTTAAAGCCAGTGATCCATGCCTTCATTTCTACTAGGCTTGGTTACTGCAATGCACTTAATATGTGGTTAGTGGCTCCAGGATCGCAAGACTCCAAAGAGAACATTACCTCTATTGCAGCCTCTGTACACTGGGTTCCTATTCATTTTAAAGTTCTTTTTGTTTTTAAGTCATCCACCCTCCCATTCACTCAGGTTTACAATGGTTCTTGTGGTGCCTAGAAATAAAAGGAAGTTTAGGGGGTAATCATGATTTTTCTGTGGCAGCTCCAAAAATGTGGAAGGAGTTCAATCTATTACGCTCTTACCTAATGTAAGGTGAACCCCACAAAACTCATTAGCCTTTGGTGCGAGGGGTGAGTATTGGTATGGGGGTTACCATAGATCCGTGTCACGATACAATATTATCACTATATTGCAATATTGCTTTATTTTGCTATATTTTTCCTGCTATCAAAATCAAATGTATGGATAAAAAGGCAACCTCTGTATATATTCACCCGATCATTTTAATCATTCAGTTATTTTGGTATCCATGTTGCTCAGGGTTTGAATCAGTCCACATCTTCTACTGTCACTGCCTCAACTACAGATATGGCACTGCGCCGCACAGCAAAATATCTTCACAGCATTATCTGCCAGAGTGGTGGTACATGGGTAGCCAATTTCCCCTCAGTTTTAGGTAAAAATGTGTTGTTTAAAAAAATATATATATACTGGGAACTGAAAATCAATATTATATATCAGACAGCCAAAAATCACGATATATTGCCAAAACTATTTTTCTATTTGATGCCAGTCCAAATATTATGCACACATGATTACACACCAAGTGGCAGGCACCTCCAAAGTTTCCTTGGGGAAACTAAGTCAAACGTTCCGTCAATACTCTTACCCATCATGTCCCCAGAAGGTTTCTTAGCAGCAGATGTCAAAAGTTCAGTGAAACTCCCGTCTTTCATTTCAGTTTCTCCAGGAACCTAAGGAAACATCAGGAAAACCGACAATGGGATGTTAGAAATAAGGCAAAACTCGGCACAAGTTCACAAGTTTGTGCAGAATTTTCTTTCCTTCTGGGGACAGATAGAAATGATTCCAGTGTCATGCATGTTGACGGGAAAGCAATGCAGGCTTTTTTTTTTATATAGAGGGGTAATGTCCTCTGAGCTTAGAAATGCATAAATATTGAAGATCTTTTACTAATAGAATGGGAGGCAGATCTTTTAGTTATCAGGCTCCTCTCCTGAGGAACCAACAACTAGTTTTAGTCCGTGAGCTAGACACCCTATCTGCTTTTAAGGCTAGGCTTAAAAATTTCCTTTTTGATAAAGCTTATAGTTAGATTCTCTCCAGTTATGCTGACCTATCTGTATAGTTATGCTGCTATAGGCTTAGACTTCTGGAGGACATAGGGACCCCTATTTCATCATTCTGCATCTCCCATTCTGCAGAATCTGTTAGTTCAATCTCTAACATTATCCTCTCTCTGCCTTTTCTCATAGTAGCTTCACCTCATCTGTTCCTGTTTGGCTGTGACACCATCCTGGAGAGAAAAATACGCTGTTCTGCTGCCATCAAAACATTTGCTTATAGATGCTGGAGATCTGCCTGTTTTTCCAGTGTAGTCCCGTTTCTCTGATTGTGACTGGCTGGATGTGCTCTCTTCATCCTCTGACATGGGAGCTGGCTCAGAGCTCGTCTGCCTGGCTGTGTGTTTCCTAAATGGGGCCGCCTTTTACAGCTGCTTTTACTATGTCTGCTTCTGTCTCCTTGAACCCCAGTCGGCCTCAGCAGATGGCTGCTCACACTGAGCCTGGTTCTGCTGGAGGTTTCCTCCTGTTAAAAGTGGACAGTTTCTCTCCACTGTCGCTACAAGCATGCTTAGTGTGAGAGATTGCCTTTGAGTCAATGAGTCGATGCAATCAACTGGTTTTCCTTGGATAGAAAACTTTGAATCAATTTGACTGTGTGATCTGGTGAACTGTAAAGTGCCTTGAGATGACATGTGCTGTGATTTGGCGCTATATAAAAAAACTGAATTGAATTAATGAATCAATGGCAGTGAAGATTCAATAAAGAATCAAAGGAGCAAGGGCCTGCAGCACGTCAAACCTAAGCTCACACCCACAGAATCCCACCAGGATCACTCCATTATTGACTGACAAACAGAACCTATAGAGGCAACAATGGTAACTACCGTAGATGAAAATCATTTTACACGTCCAGCAACTGTAAAAGCATGTATGGGGGGAAAAATAATGAAACCATTTTAAAGAAATTAATAACAGCTACAGGGTTAAAGTCCAAAAATAAAACTGTAAAAGTGCTTTTTACATAATAGATGATTTTCTATAAAGACAACCAGAAGGCAAAAGATGCATAGCTTCAGTTATGTTCCCCAAACCCCAGTGCTGCCCTGAAAGGGTGTATCAAAGGTGAGGTGAGGTAAAACCCTGTGTCCAGCAGCGTTTAACAAGGGAACTTATCAAATCCATCTTAATGTGAATCACTTCACCTTATCTTGTGCCAAAATAGGTGATCAGGCAGAGAAGTTTCATTTCAATCACTAACTTACATCCCAAGGCTGCGTTGGAGGCCAACAAAATTTCTTTTTAGAAACAGGAACCCTGGAGGAGGGGGAGGAGCTGCCAGCAGGGGGCCCTCCCTTTTAACAGTTTTATTAAACTTGCAATTCAAACCAGCTTCAATCAGATGTGAAAACTCTAGCTAGATATTTTTGTTGTTTCATGGAATCAACGTCTCAAACCCACCTGAGTTATTAAGGAATCGGAGCTGCACCTTTTCAGCCAGGCATTCTCACTGATTGGCTGGAAAGGCAACTGGTTTAACTCCAGTTCCCGTTCCTAATAATAAAGAATAAAAATTAGAAATAAATCAGATTCTAACACACTTTCATAACATAATCATCCAGGCTTTGCAAGTAATTTTATGATAGAAGCAGATGAGAAGCACAGATGGACAAAGTGCCTGAGGCAGCAGGACAAACCTGCCGTATGATGGACACCTGCTTGGAGCTGGGTGTCGTTGAGCACTGCAGTTTCTGCTGAATGTTTGACACAAAGTCGGAGCGGGTCCGTGAGCAGGTGCTGGCAGGGCTCTGCGTTTGGGGGGTGTTAGCCTGAGAGGCCGGCGCCTTAAAGCGCTCCAGCCGCTGATGAAATTCTTCCTCACCTGGAAAAGGTTGTCAACAGCAGCCAGGAAGATGAGATTCAAACATCCTCATAATCAGCATTCAATAAATATGCACTATGTATCTTTCCATTTAACATGATTTTTATTTTCTTTCTATCAGGGGACTCTGTAGAAGCTCTAGTTGACGTGGATATTGAGACAAGACCAAAACCATTTTCTAAGAAAGCAGTGATTCTAGTACTTATGCTTTCTCTGTTTAGAAAAGGCAAACGTCAAATGCTAAGACAAAGAAAGGGGAAACAGTTTTCATCAAAGTACAGAGATGGTAATCTATTTTAGATGTAGGCGAATGTGTGAACTCATTTGCATCCTCACCGAGAAGATGCTCTCTGCTGCCCTTAATAGGAACCGCTGGGCCTTCAGTTCCCGGATCTGAGAGAATGCGCCGGGCTGCAAGAGCTCCTAAAAAAAGACATGCCATCTTTCAGTTCATTGTTTTTATTTTCCTTTCCAAAACCACAGACATTACGTCTTTGACTTAATCGCACTGAAATGTTGCTAAACATCAAACGCATTTTTATGTTCGATGAAAATATCCAGTGCAAACCAGGTCAGCGGGTCACACTTGGAGTTCCCTTTAATGCAATGAAGGTTTTTCTTTACCTAAGAGAACATGACTCTTCTCTTGACATGGCTTTGCCTCATGCTGACACATTTTAGACATCTGATGTTTTATCTCGTTTCCCTTCCTGTTTCGAATGACCTCTTCAGTCATGAAAAAGTTATCAAAGTTAGAATCTCTGATGAAACTGGCTCTGCAATTTTTTTTTTGTGAACATCTCTGTTAACTGAACTTGTTAACCATTTTATTTTCATCACTCAGTGACCCCATTTTGACCCGGCCAGAAATGGGTGCTAGATGAATAAATATAATAAATTCTGGTAGAAAAAATACATACATTTCCAAACTGCCCTTTTTCACAAAATAAAGATTGTAAGCCCAGCATATACGGATAATTTAAGTATATTTTAAAACAATAACAAGTAATTAGATGTACAAATATCTGAGCTTCATATGAAGACTCAGTAGAAACCCAACAGCATAAAGCTTTTCTAAAACTAACTCAAGGTGAGCAGCCAGATACTGTGTTAATTATGATTAGTACTACTTTTATATCACATTATGCAAAAAGAAAAAAACATGCTGCAGTAAAATTACTAACAGCAGTTATTTTTGCAATCAAATATCTACTGAAGTTTCAAAAATTGATGAAAATTATGAATTTCTTTCATAATTTTAGTGCAACTTTATTCCAGATTAACAGTAAACACTTAAAACGTCATAGGTAATGACTACTAGGAGATGTTTTGATATCACCCCCAGGGATGCACGATATAATCAGCCCCCTATCGGTATCGGCCTGTATCGGCCTTAAAACTGAATATCGGACATCGGCCACCCAACTGATATTTAACCCGATATTTGATCAGCTTCTGAGTTTCTAAAGTAAAAAAATAAATAAATAAATATTACTTCTTCTTCTTCCTCAAAAACTTCTTTTTTACAGACTTAAAAACTTCTAAAGATGAGGGAAAAAATATTGATACATTAAAATATCCCAATATCTTCATATGCTGATATATTGCCATTTAAAAACACCATATCAATCTCTTTTACTAATGAAATATTGCTATATGGCATCGCTATGCTACGAAATCCCCCGAAAATTCACGAAATTTTGCCATATTTTTATATGTTGATATATTGACGCGGTATCGATCTATTTTACTAACAAAATCTCACAAGAATTTGCAAAATATAACGAGAGTTTGTAACAGAACGATGAAATTTCATGAGATTTTGAAAGTAAAATAGATCGATACCGCGTTTTTAAAAATCAATTTGATATCAGCATATGAAAATATATTTGAGTATATTATTTTTCAAAGTGTCAGAAATGGATAACAAAAATGCTATTTTCAATGACTACTTATTTTTGTCCAGCTTTAACATCGGTATCGGTTTCGTCTATCGGCTACATGAGTTTTAAAATATCAGCATATCGGATATCGGCCAAAATCCCAATATCGTGCATCTCTAATCCCCCCCCTTCTGTGATGAGAGATGACTGTAAATGTTGGTGGACACAATATGAGCATGCCAGCTTCAGTAGTATAATAAACAGATACCGTCTTTTCTCTGAGTGAGCAGCTGGAGTCGGGACTGGACTGACGGGATTATCGGGGTGTCCGGTTTTGTCTTGAACTCAGCCAAATGCCTAGAAGAGCACGGCTGCGGGCTCCGGTTCTCCTCACCGGCTGCTTCCAGACGCCGCCGCTTCAGGACATCTGAAACAGGAAAATCCAATAGCATGTAAACATCTGGACGGTACAAGTATAGCACAAGACTTAGTCCCTCATGTTGTTGTAAAAACAAAAGATTATAACACACCTGCTACAGGGAGGATGTTGTCTTCGGTGTCTGACAGAGGTTCTCTCTGCCTCTTTAGGGTAACATTAATACCATTTTCCTCCGCTGCCTCCATATTGATCTAGAAACACACAATCTCAAAAATATTAAAAGTTGTGTTTCCTCTCCAAATAATACATTTAAACATTTTTTAAATTCATCAGAACAAACCTAATTTGAATACAGCAATCATGCAAAATAATTAAAAAATGAATTTAAAACTAATCTATTACATAGTATGGTAATGACTGCAAGCATAATTTTTTGTCACATGTTAACTTTCTTTTCTGCAATACTTATTATAATGATTAACACTTGCACCCATCTTAAGTAGATAACATTTGATTTTGAACTGTGATCTCTCATAAAAGAACCGTTAACCGGAGTCCATACTATTGGATTAGTTATTGCTAAATGACTGAAATGTTAGGGTGAGGTAAAATACTAGCTGTGGGTTTTCTTTTGCTTTGGGAGAAAGACTGACAGGATCAAAGACTGACAGGATCAAATAGATTCTTTTTTTTATTATTGTATACTACCTGTCCAAATAAACCTGCAGATTTTTAAGAAGTATTTGCACAATCAACTACTGACATACCATAGTTTAAAGTTCAGATTATCATCATTAGACAAATATCTTTTATTGTTAGCAAAAATCTTCCAGCTTCAGCTCGACCTAATAAAATAACAATAATAGTTATTATTACTACAATATCAAGAATATATTTATTGATAAAGCAACTGAACGCAAAGTGTTTCACAGAAGAATACAATCTAAAAAGGATAGATATTAAAAAGAACAATCTTATTTAGAAATCAACACAAACACAATGAAACTCATAAGATAGGATGGTTGGAATAAGTATTAGTAAAAAAAAAATAAAAACAAAGAAACAAAGCAATACAACTAGGGCTGCGTGATATTGTTAAAAAAGTAGCAATATTGTAACGTTTCTAAACATTTTCAAAGAAACATTTAATAATCAATGTACAGTAATATAAGAAAAAGAGGAAAGTAGAAGGCAACAATATGTGAAAATGGATGATTATCAGTCGTCCCGTTTTGTTTTGTTTGTTGTGCTCCACAGGTCTGTATTTGCCATTTGCTCTGTACATAAATGACCTACCGGTATGTAAAGTTTAAGAAGTGTTCATGTTTGTTTTGTTTGCGGATGACACAAATATTTTCTGTTAAGCTGAGAGCTTAGAGCTGGGGTGGGCAACTCCAGTGCCTGAGGGCCAGTATCCTGCCATTTTAGATTAACCCTTGGTTCAAAACACCTGAATCAAATGGCTGAACTACCTACTCAAGATGCAGTCAGTTGAGTCCTCTCAATCATCCAATTACTTGATTAAGGTGTGTCGAACCAAAGGCACATCTACTTCATCCACTTTTTCCTCCTTTGTGTACCTTCTGTTGTTTATAAGAGCCGAAGTCACACAGTTTTCTTCATTGTGAGTTTAATAAAGTTCTACCTACCCAAAAACCCACCCACGGCCTTCTGGAACTGGAATTGCCCACCCCTGGCTTAGAGCATCTGCTGGGTGATTAACGGCGGAGATAAAGAAGCTAAAAAACTAGAGGATTAAAAAACAACAACAAATCCGGATGATTCATAGGGCTGGCTATCATCATCGCACTTTTCCATTATTCATCTATTCCTCCTTACTTACATATGTCTGTTTCTGTTAGTTTCAAACCTTACAACTAAATTATAAACCTAGAAATGAATGGCTACCAGAGAGTATATGATAATCCTTTTCCTGATAGAATGGGAGGGTATATAAGAGAGATAATCTAAATTTCGAAAATCTTACATGTTGGAAAAAACATAAAAACATTTTTAATAAAAAAAAAATTAATGAAAGCAATGTCCAAGCATTAGAGACATTAGGAAATGGCTTTCTCAAGAATATAAGAGATGGAAGAAGGGTGGTGAACATCAATGGGTCACAGTGCATGGGTTTACACACATTTTTGTAATGGTTGTGGTCGTGCAGGCTATGGGTAGTAATAGTATGAATGAAGACGCAGGTGGCTTGTGTGTATGTACATAGGCTTATATGTACAGAAACTTATTTATTTTCTCACCTTATGGAATATTGGAGCTGTATGGACTCTGAAGTTATATGGTTATTGATGGTGTTAATAGACAATGGGAAGGTGAAAGGGTATGATTAATAAGTTTCAGTTCTACATGCCCCCTTTCAGACATAAGCACTACATTTTATGTAAAATAATTATGTCATTAATTAGAATATTTGCAAGTGAATATTTTTCTTTTATAGATTTGTTCCTGGTTATTCTGAAATAACGACATTCAATCATTATTATAGTGTTTTGTTTACATATTTGACACAAGGACCAGGGGAGAAAAGCCTGAATTGAAACTGCATTTCTAATCCAACATAAACATAATCTTCAGAAATAGGTTAGGCCAATCACAGCCCTACAATGCAAAAAAAAAAAAAATCTATATAGGTAAATATTTCTTAAAATAGCTGCATTTTTTCTTGATTTAAGCAGGAAAGTGAGACACTTTGCCAATGGAACAAGGCAATTCACATTTAAAATAAGATAAAACAATTGCATTGTCCTATTTCTAGTGCATATTATCCAATTATATTATTCTAAGTGTAACAGTGCTCATTCTATTGACAGGTCATCTTATTTAGCTGCTCAGATTAAGGGTGAAAACACTGATTTAAGAAATTTCTACTTATTTTTAGATAGTGTGCAGTGACTACATCCCCCAGAATACAATGCAGTTCTGGATCAAAGTTCAGTCTAATTATTTTTAAATATATTCAGAGGTATTTTCTATTGATATTGATCAGATTTCTAACACATATCGGTATTGATTTATTGCTCAGCCCTAAATAAAAAATTCAACAGAAATTTAAAAGGTTCAAATTCTTTACACCCTTTAATGCAGATTTAACCGTTATAAATAATAATGAGCTCTTGTGACAATTTTAACCAATGTAGCCCACACATGTTTAACGGTTTTGTGTGCTGTTTAATAGACAAGCACTTGAACAAACGATGCATTAATGAGAGGAGCCGCGTGACGACGCCCAAACCGCTCACATTTACTGCAGGTATTTTTTTCTTTCAAACGTATCCCAGGTAAAACAGGAAGCTCTTCGTGCTGCTAGCTGCTCTGCTGAGGAACCCAAACATAGCTGAAAAGTCATCCTAACATGCTTATGTTGCTGTTAGCCTTTACTCTTTTAATTAAACAAAAATATCAAGAACATACCTTCTTTTAGAAGTTTAGCAAACCAAACTATCTTATTATGTAGAGCCAATCAGCCTAATGTTAGCTTAGCTTAAAGTTAGCATAACGAGCGGACAAAGCTCGATACAAGCACCAAAAACGTTTTAGGTCCCTTACCTCAGAAGTTGTATTAAAAACTTCGGTTCGGTTTAGCCCAAAAGTCAGTTGTTTAGAAGAGAAAAATACCCTCCTTGTTATCAAGGTGTTTCCGTATCCTCCTCTACTTTGAATTTCAGCGGGTCCTCTGACGTACAAGTTCACTCGGCCACCCCCTTACCGTAAAACCGCGATACTATGCGCAGTCGGAAAGCTTGAAACTTGAGCTCGTTTGTTACCGAACGAGAAGGCGTATCATGACAAAACAAATTACCTATTAATATTAGAAAAAATAAAATTTACAGATAATACTAACAGTAAAAGAAACCAAATTTCTAGGAGGTACCATTGAAGACATGGAAAATTAAAGAAAAATTGCAAAATCCAAAGCTGTGGTACATAAAGTAAATTTCTTTTTAAATCACGTACAACACAATGATCAAGTCATACTGATCCTATGTTTGAGGCTTAGGGATCAATGTGTATAACTAGCCTACACACAGTCTATACACAATGGACAATAACAATTATTAAGAATCCAGGACACAGATATCCTTCTAACCCAATCAAATGATTAAAATTTCCTGATTCAATAGATTCTAATATTATCCAGCTTTTGTATAAAGTGAATAAGCAAATTATTGTTTGTGAACGTCCAAGAAAGGTTTGAATTAATAAAAAGTCACTGTAGTCTTTAACGACCATATGTTTAAAAAGAAAAGCCAGTTAAAAACCAAACTTATAGAACGCAGCATCACAGTAAAATGACTGAATTTTTGAAAAAGACTTAATCAAGAAATGAAAGAGTCAAGAATGATGATGGCATTCAAAAAGTATAAATAGAAAACTACAAAGTTAGGGATGCTTAGAAAAGATGGATGTAAATCCTGTAACAGAACAGATGCAGAGTTGTTGTAAAATGTCCAATATAAATTTGCTCTTCTTTCTGCTCCATTTCATTCAACACGCACTGATTTAGGAGTTATATTGTTATGTATATTCATTATAAAGTTTTTTTTAAATAAATAAATGAACAAATCCTAAGAACAGATTTGTGCTACATGACTATGTGACCTCAAGGAATATAAACTATTTTATATAATCTCAAATTATGGGACTGCACCTTTTTTTATTGCATAACAACATTTGGTAAATTAGATAGAAATAATCATAATTCAGTTTAACTTTACAAAAAACGGGAAATATAGTCACACAGGAAAATGATAGTGGTTAATTATTTTTTTTGTTTTTGATTTATCAAAAAAATGTTTAGCCCGAAACAATGTGCACACAAAACCATCAATAAATCTATTAATTTATTGATCCATCCGTCAGTCGATCCCTCCATCCATCTGTCCATCCATCCAGTGAGTGTGTACACTGTATGCATCTATTAACTTCAATGGTATAGCTGCTGCTTAGCTTTCAGAACACCTTTAAACAGCAAGCTGCAGCCAGTGGGCTTGCAGGCAGCTAAACTGAAACCTTAAAAAGGTTACGGCAGCATGACTGTAAATGAACCCAGAATCTCAGAATACCACTGATAAGATCTTTCAAACACAATTCTTCCTCAGTCTTAGTTTGGAAACAGGTTTGCATAGACAGAGGAACTGAATCACGGTGTAAAAGTTAAGTGTTTCCAATGACGGTAGAAAATTTTCAGTCTATATTTATAATCCTGCAACCATCGAAACTGTAACCTCTGACTCTCTAATTATATTAATAAAAATGCCTCTGACATACATGCTCTCTCACCGTAATATGGAAATTTGCAGCCTTTTTCTAAAGAACTAACCATGAACACATACTTAAAAATAACCAAAGACTACTGTAAAAAAAATTCATTTTATTCACACTTAAAGAACCAAGATATAATCACTGAAATGCATAAAAGTTGTAAGTACAATTTTTTTTTTCTTCAGATAATTACTTATATTATTTAAGTAAACTGTCTAAACCAACCTGGAAAAATGCACAAAATGTATTGTTTTCTAGACCTATTAGCTGGGAAACTTTCCCGCAGCAAGTGCCATCAAAGACCTGTAATAACTTTGAGTGGTTTACATAAATGTTTATAGATTTTGATCCACTTTTCTTTGCAGAAATGTTTTAATTCAGCCACACAGACAGTTAGTTGAGGCACAACCATAGCTTCAGGATTAGATGAGGTTCATTTATTTCATTATTTAAAAAAGAGGTGGAATATCTAATATTATTTGGATCACTGACCTTCTGTATAATCCAAGTGCTACAGCTTAAAATCTGAAATTGTTTGCTGGATATTCACCATCAGAACTTTTTGGTTGAGAGCAGAATTCGCAACTTATCCAGGTTCTGAAGCAGCAAAGAGGCTCTAAGTATCACGTTTGTCTGTATGTGGGGGAGTGTTGGCCTAGTGGTTAGAGCAGTGCGCTTGTTCTCTGAGAAGGTTGCAAGTACCTGATTCGATCCCCAAAGCCTCCACTCTGGGTTCCTGAGCAAGGCACTCCATTCTGAGATCTATAAAGTTAAATTATTATTTTTATAATTAAGTATGATGTTCTTTTTCTAAATTGCTATTGCTTTTATGAAATAGGACTCACAGGCTCTGAAAGAATGAGGTTTTGTATTGTCAGTTCCAGAAAAAACATGGGTTTCATTAAGAAAGTGATAAGATTTCTTTCATTATTTTTGGTCAGGAGTAGTATCCACCTTGAAAGTCTCCCATGGAAAACATTTTTGCCTAATTGCTAAATGAGTTTAATTAGCTGTATAAGGCATTCAGTGTTACAGATCCTGGATAAATCATTAAAATACTCTTGGACGTAATACTGTCAGGGCTTTGAGTCCTCTGAGGGCTCAACACTGTTCTACATTTTCTTATTTTATGGTTTACAAACAACTAGACAAAGGAAAATTTCAAAGATTAATTTAAAACCACAGCACAAAAGAATTTGGTTTTATAATCGATAGAGAATGAGTCCTACTGTTGGAGATGGGAATGGAGCTCAAGGGGAGGGGATTATATCCATAGAGTCTGAGGTGGGCAGGTGGTAGAGCACGGTAGCCAGATTTATTGCTTCCGATGCAACTACCCTCCCGAGTTGGAACAGAGAAAGGCTGGTGAGTGATAATATCAGGTTAGCAACCAGAAGAAGCAATGAGGAGATTTGCCTTTATTGACATAGATTTTTTCCAATAATCACAAGAAGATAACTGGCAAATCCTCCAAGCATGCTAGACACATATTTTATGTAGAGCCAAATTTCTTATATGAAAGCAAAACAATCTGGCATCTGCCTCAGGTAGTCTGCTCCTCCTTATACTCCTTCTGATTGGCCTTGACAAGATGCCCCTTTTTAGGGATCACCTGCCAGTGCCACTGTTTAATAATAAGAGAGACCCATGTTTGACAAAGACAACGGCAGATGAGCCCAGTGAAGAAGTGTGTAACAGCTGTAAACAAAATTACATCAGTTGATCCTGTGGAGCCAAGCGAGGGCAGAGATGAAGCTGAGAGCTTGCTGACAGAGTTGACCGCGTCCCTTAGCAAAAAGTAGTATACTTGAGGTAAATTCTATTAAGAATACTTAAGTATAAGTTTAGAAATTATACCGAACAATGTACTTTTAGTGTACTTGAAGTATTACCAAAGTAATACTTCTTCGAAATAAATTGGGACATTTTTAAGTTTACTAAAGTATACTTAAAGTATACTTTAGTAAACAATAAAGTAAACAATAGTATAGTCAAATACACTTGACTATTCTATTGTTTTAGAATAAGTAAACCCTAAGTGCACTGCCTGATTTTAAGTATGAAATTATTGCACTTTTAGTATACTTGAATAAACTACTTTTTGCTAAGGGGTGGCAGACGGGTTTAGAGTGACGGTGTGCGAGTTTAAACGACAAACATTGTTCTCACTGCACGCTCTGTTCAGTGGCACCAAAATTATGCCATAAATGTTGAGCAAAAGAACACGACTTTAATATTCGATTGAAAGTACTATGTAATGTGATTTATTCAATAAATAAATTATAAATAGATCAGTTGCATTTCCTGCACATGCCTTTTATTTATGATAGAGGAGCCAGAGCATTTATCGTACATTTATCGTTATCGAGGTAAAGGAGCTCAATTTATTGTGATATTGGTCATATCCTATGTACACACAGCATTCTGCCCACAGCTCTGTGGAAATGGTAGGGCTCGACCCATGGAAGTGACTCTGCACTCTTTCAATTCCTTTCTTATTAAACTTTTGTGATGAAACAGCAATTTGATTAGGGAGAATGACATAAAGAGGCAGCTGAATGTGAACCTGCTGCTGCCAGAGGGAGGTTTTCCATTAAGTTTTATTATTGAAGTCCTATCTTATTGTGCATTTTTGTAAGTTTCTCTGTATAAACATTAGAAATGAAAACCATTATTTACAAATATAAAGCAGAAAAATTAACTGCTGGAAGTAGGACATGTTTCTGAGAGAGGTCAGTTACAGACGAGTGGTCTTTCTGCTTTGGCTTTAGTGTCCTTACTCGTTTGCACTATTCAAAAAGAACTTCTGTTTTTCCCGTATGAAGATTAATCTTTGTTTTTAGGGTTAGTGGATGTCTGTTGAGGACCCAGTGCAGAGACGGAAGGCATAGATGGTTTCTTGCAGATTTAATGCTGAGGTAGGTTTCATGATTTCAGTCCTGCTCTGTTTGTGTTCACTCTACGGCTCTGTTCGAAAACCTGTTCTGCATCCTCCAAGGATGCGGTCTACTGAGACTGGATCCTTTTGCACATCTCTGATGTTGCTGCTATTTTCAAATATCCATTGCTGGAAAAATGTCCATAGCTGCATATTGGTTATTTATTCTCCAGTTTTATGTTGTTAAAACACTTTACAGTATTTTATTGTTTATATTTTAACTCTTCCTAATTATGTTAGTCTTATACATTTTTCTAATGTCCACATTTGTGTGACCATTTTAATAATCTTTCTGCTGCTGTAAATTTGCCCATTGTGGGACAATAAAGGGATTTTCTATTCTATTCTATAAAAGGGTTAGAAATATATAAGTGAATCCAAACAATGTATGTATAAAAAAATCGCTAATATTCAACAACAAAAAATACTTAGTTAAGCATATTGTGCAAAACAGCAATAAAAAATTAAACTCCTA